CTCATCTTTTGTGGATTGCTCTGCTTCTTATGTTGGCGAAAGGTAAGTCATAGAGTTCTGATGGGTACTCTGGCTCCTCATCTATAATATACCCATCACCTAGAACTGTCGTAATATCAGCCAGGCAATGTTCTGGGTTGGGAGGGGTCGCTACATGACCCAACCAAGCACGTCTAAGCTACTGGTTTGGTTTTGCCATTGCCACGGACGTACGGATTATTGGCCTCAGCAAAGCAAAGCCTAATCATCGATTCTGATACATAAAGTGCTGATCGAGGTCGGTGAGCAGTTTGAATCTTAAGCGCTGCTTACCAGACCAGTCCACGAACGATGTAAACGAAAATAGTAGCACCGAGTCCATACAACCTTAGATATACATTTCTAAAATTCTCAAACATATCACGAATGCCCAGAACATCTGTCATGACACATAACATTCGGAATGATCGCCAAGATTTTGTATGACAAATTGTTTCCAGCCTTCGAGCACGTGATCGTACTTTCGGTTAATGCCCCTGTCGGACTTGCTTCTCTTGGCGATCATTCGATTCCTGAAATCGTGTTTGGAGCATCAAAGTATACTTGTTTTATTTGAGAAGAACGTTGATATTCTCATCACCAAAATGTTGTGTCTTGTGTTTAAATTTGTCTTTACCTTCAACGGATACATTTTGATTATTCTCAATTTCTCAAATGATGTCCCACTGGACCGGAAGCTGTAGAACCCTATGGGAAAAAAATAACTTCTCCATATATTTCAAACATAAGCTAAACACACCGATAGCATACGAAAAACTACTATATCTTATACTAAACTGTTCAACACGATATTTCTTAAAAGTTGTCCTTGGTGTCGTAGGCATTCGGAACTCCTTTAATTGTACCCATAAACTGTAAGTACTATATGGAAATGAGATACGTCAGTTGTAGCGCGGAAACTTTATTGATTTACGAATATTAGTGTGTGACCTAGTTAGACATATTAAGCATACAGCAGGAGAGCTACTATTTAAAGGTAGAAACCATCGCATCGCACGGCGCAAAATAAAAAGTTCTTCACTCGTGGGTTCTAGAAGGTTCCAGGAGAACACAACGATCCGGTTGAAACCGGTTTCGGTATTTTTAAACGTGATTTTAATACTTCAGCATTCACACTTGTAGTATAGGATATAATCGCTGTCGATAGTCTTATCGACAACGGCTTTAATTCTAAAAATAGAACCAACCTGCACATGCAAATATGTACCCTATGTGTTGTTCTCTTTTTTATTTCAGAATCGTATCATATCAAAATTATGATAATTGTTATCTACCCAAATGCGTACTTTTCGAGGGTCAATGGAACGTTTTGAGAAGTTTGGTGGCCGTGAAAAGGGCCAATTTGGAAATGGTGTACATATATATTGCTTAAGAATGTTGTCCACGGATACGACAAGCCAGCTGGATATCCTTGGGCGTGGATAGCGCACAGGTTCGAGTCCTCGAAAAGTCCGACCATGTAAGCTTCGCTAGCCTCCTGAAGAGCCATGACATCAGGGCTCTGGAACCTCAGGTCGGTCTTGAAATCCTGGGCGATTTCACGGACTAAACGTTGGAACGGCATTTTCCTGGTGAGGAGCTCGGTGCTCTTCTGGTACCTTCGGATTTCACGGAGGGCGACTGTCCCTGGCCTGTACCTTACAGGTTTTCTTACGCCTTTGAACGACTTGGACAATACGCATACGTTTTCGCATGGCTTTCCTTACAGTGGATTTACGGGGGAACTGCTTAGCACGAGCCATTGTTGGCGTATTCTATGCGAAGTTCGATGACTGAACGACGACCGTGGGCAGAGCTATTTTTGTGATCTACTTTATTCGGATATGTTAGCACGTTTCTGATCGGTTTATTTTCACGAAATTTCAAACCTTGTTTGTGTTTTCGCACCAGACAGCAAGTTGAAGAAAATATGTCATTTTTACTGTTAAACGATTTGATTATGACGCCTTTTCGACCTTGTAATTACGTATACATGCAGCTATGACGCGTACTGATTATAGGAAGCTATATATAATTACATATCTAAACGGGATGTGTATTCGGATCTGTATAGGTTTAATGGGATTGTTATTTCTCAACGTTATATGCTTAATGCCGATCATGCAAACAAAAGATGAACAAATTACTGACCAGCTCTGATTAGTCCTCTCTCATCCCGTTATCGATATAGTGATGCAAGGGGAGTAACTCCCATATGAGGTGAATTGCAAAATAACCACGTGCACAAGAGGAACACACCCCATTCCCCCTCTAAACGCAGTGTTGCACAAAAAATACTTCTTTAAACTCCCCGGGATTCTGACTGTCAGAAGTCCCTAGCCATAAAATGGCATGGATTTAACCTAACAGTTTTTGTAATCAGACCATGCAACACTAAGATACATGTAGTTTGTGGAATTGGTGTCGAATTTCAGTGCTTGCTAAAAGGTCCTTTCTATCTATAGAAAGTAAGTTAAAGGTTTCAGAACTAATGAATACGAACAATGGTAAGATTTAAGACTTAATACAAATTTATCAAAATTCTGTTTTAAAATGTCGTAAAATCTCACATTATTTGTCCTCCAAACAAATTACATTTCAGCCTGTATACCGTTTTAATTATATGTTTTCTCTGTACATTTATAATTTTCTTAAAGATACATTGACGTTGAAAGTTGAAGCTGATAGTTAGAATGGAACACTAAAAGGGTATATCTGAAAGTCCAATGCAATGAGTTGGATGCTACTATTGGTAAATATATATATATTGTAGTGTGGTCGATTGGCGCAGTGGATACTAGTCCGAATTATTCTGACGTTTTATCGACTTTTTTCATTTCGGTCTGTCGTCGATTAACGTCAGAACTCCGGCCCTCTATAATATGCGGAAAATATGCGACCCGCGCCCGGAGCGCACTTCAAACTGATATTTTAGAAACAAATCGTCACTTTCACACACATGTCGCACATGGATCGAAAGATCTGTTCTTTATGTACCAGATGAACATACATAGCATGCCTCAAACAACCAATACAATCACTAAAAACATATTTTTTCAAACTTATTCTGTTTTACTCTAGTTTTTTGGTAGCCCCGCCTTCTAATGTCACATGACTAAAATCTCGCCTGCCTACGTCATAATGTTGGGAATCAAGTCATGTGACATTGCTCATGGCCTAATTCCCATTAAAAAAAATGGGTTGGTATAGAAAACGTTGGAAAATACTTTTCGTAATGTTTTTTGAAACATGTTATTGATACCACCTAGTGCATAAAGAATAGATCTTTCGATCCATGTGCGACATGTGTGTGAAAGTGACGATTTGTTTCTAAAATATCAGTTTGAAGTGCGCTCCGGGCGCGGGGCGCATATTTCCCGCACATTATAGAGGGCCGGAGTTCTGACGTTAATCGACGACAGACCGATATCAAAAATGTCGATAAAACGTCAGAATAATTCGGACTAAGTGGATACATGTAACGCACTCGCCTCAGTTTCTGCTATTGGAAATAGCGGCCCGTGCAAAGCGGCCGGGGTTCGATTCCTGATTACTATATATTGAAATAAGTTGTTTCATACATTGATAATTGTTGTAAAATATATAAAGTATATATGAAACAGAAAAAAAACATCCAAAGTCCTTATGATGGTAGAAGGTACTAAGAAACTATTGTCATTTGTTTTATAAAGTATATATATATATATGCTATACTTTTAACAATATTTGACATGCCATAATGTCACAGCAGACGTTTTAATGATTGTTAAAACCGTGAAACAATGTCAATGGCCGAGTCTGTTTTTGAGGTAAATGTTATTCCGTGGATCATTTCACAACGTTTGCCAACACGGACATTGAACAACACAATTTATTAAAAAAAAAAACACGTTGTTCCAGAACTAGAAATCACCAGAAACTCCAATGTTTGGATTTCTTTTTGCCACGATTTCTTAAAAACAGGAACTTATTTTGATCTTTTCTTTGTAAGTAATTGAAGAAAAACATAGACAAGAATTACCTTTCAACGAAAAGTACATTAAAGCAAGATACACTGTACATGTAATTAGTATTTACATGAAGTTGAGAGGGATACATCTTACGGGAAAATATGTTACATATGCTACGTTGAACTTTGACCTTTTATTATTCAAAATTTACATGTTTCGGTTTCGATGTACATTCGATTGGTGACCTTTCTTTCATTACTTTGAAACCGATGTTTATCAAGTTATATCCAGAGTTGATTTCCGTGTATGTTACAAGTTTTATAGTGGATTCCCTTATGCGTTCATATAATATAAAAAGGTGTTGATTTCACGTACACATCCAAACCCATCCGAGGTAAACCTTAATAACAACCATTTGTTTTATTTTAATTTATTTTACATCCTTGGTAAATGAGCAATTTGTTTCACGAAGCGGTCAGTTTCGCAGTCAATACGTAAATACAGTCATTTAAAATATAAAGTCTTTGAGGCAAGCTTTATGGAACTCTTTCAGTATCACAAATACATTTGTATAATATTATCATACAGAGGCCAATGGAATGATTCAGATTGTAAATGCCAGTCAGGTTAGAGCACAAATAAGGTTTTCCCTAAGTATTTCCGCCTCTCAAACCTGCGGACCTTTATTCCCTGGCCTGATACCGCGAACGTATTTCCTGGCATGTAATACCACAGACTTATTTCCTAGTTTGATACCACATAAATATTTCCCAGTTTGATACCGCAGACTTATTTTCCAGTTTGATACCATATACTTATTTTCCGGTCTGATACCGCAGACTTATATCCTGGTTTGATACCGCAGACTAATTTCTTGGTTGGATACTGCACACTTATTTCCTGCTTTGTTACCACACACTTATTCCTGGTTTGTTACCACAAACACATTTCCTGGTTTGATACCGCAGACTTATTCCTGGTTTGTTACTACCGATTTATTTCATGGTTTGTTACCACAGACTTATTTCCTGGTTTGTTACCACAGACTTATTTCATGGTTTGATAACACAGACTTATTACATGGTTTGATACCACAGACTTATTTCATGGTTTGATAACACAGACTTATTTTTGGTTTGTTACCACATACTTATTCCTGGTTCGATACCAGAACCATTTTTGGTTTGATATCGCGGGTTTATTCCTGGTTTGGTACCACAGACGTATTTCCTGGATTGTTACCACAGACTTTTTCCTGGTTTGTTACCACAAACCTATTTCCCAGTTTGATACCAAAGACTTATTACTGGTTTGATACCAAAGACTTATTCCTGGATTGACACGTCAAAATGAGTTAAACGGTATATGTGTTTTCAACATCCTATATCTTCTCGAACATTATAGTTATCTTCGCTGTTTAATATCACAGTCATTCGCTTTGAGTTTGAGTTTGTCGGCTTTTTTCACACAAAGTTGGCGAGCCAGTCAAGACAGTGACTGACCTTTGTGTAGACACCGTATTGTAGCTCTATGCCACACCCCAGGGGACTACCCCAGCTGACCACACCCTCCAGGTACCAATTTCGGTCATCACCTACAAAACATACAAACAGTTCTGGAATGATAAAAAACAAACTGCTATTAAATATATTTAGGAAGCATCGTTCAATTACAGAAAAAACTTGTTATACTGCCACCGTTTGCTTGCTAACATTTGGCGTTAAAATAGGTTTGGCGAAATATTGAAAAAGATATACAAAGGAGTTGTTGAGAAAAAAAGTAAGAAGATCATAAGGTTCCTCAGAATTGTACAACTAATGAGACACTACCTTACATTCCGAATACCTACTTATGATAAGGATACTGATCTGCCTCGTTTGTATTGGAATCCGAAACTTCACAAAAATCCTACGTTTTATTGCTGACTACACTAGTTGATCAACCAAAGCCATTAACCAAACTTCTAACTACCCTTCCTGGTACCATTACATCGAGTTAACGGTCGTATTGTGATACTGCATATTCCAGAAGAGGAATGTAAGGAATTTGGAGTTTGCAGATGTCACAAGATCTTTCTATTAAACTTGAGTCTTCTCTCCACAAAATGTTTCTTCAACATGATATTTGACTTTGCGACTCTTTGCACTATTATGCAACATGCAAACGGAAGAAACGGGCAATGATCTTTCATATGAAGCAAGGAAGGGCAATGGACCACAGTGTACATCAAGTGATGTAGTACAGAAAACTACCTACCGAGCTAAAACAGTATGCAGTGCAATCACCTGGCCAACATGTGCGAGACCTGAAAGCAAGGCCCTGTTATGTGGACCACGGGATGGCAATGTTTTACCACGTAGTTCAAGCGAGGCCATGAAACAACATGTGACCAAAGTGTAGACCATATTGTAATGTGTGGGCCAAATGTTGACTGTCAATTAAACGCCATGTGCCAAGGTTTAAGTATTCGAAGCCAGTAAATGCGCCATTAGGGATACATGTACAAAGGCACAGGGAACATTGTGTCTACTATAACCACCATATGTGAATAAGTTTACACTTGGGCGGGGTCCGTTGGTAGTATACTAAGGTTACACGAGGCTAGCATACCATACCTGTACCAGGGAAGACAAGAGGTCCCCCAGAATCTCCCTCACACGCGTCACTACTTCCATCCTCCTGTCCAGCACAAAACATACTCTCCGTAATAGTCTGGGGATAACCTACAATAACCAATATATTTAAGGGTTGAACGTGTAATTTAAGCACACATTACAAAATAAGACACACATGCATGTTTGTTTTTATTGGAAGTTGGGCATAACATTACACGTGTATGTAAACCGTATTTTATTTACAACTTACATGAAAATGCTTTTATAAAAAAAAAATAGAAAAAATATATACAATGTGTGATTTCATATCGAGAACATATGATATGACGTCTGTAACAAACTACGGAAACATGAAAAGCTTAGAGTGTTGATTCTAACTATAACTGATGTATATTCTTATATTTTTCTTACATCGTGGTCACTGCCATTTTGCCATTACATGCTATTTTATAGGAACTGAGGTCAGCAAAATACACGTACCAACTTGTGCGTATTTGTCCATGCAATCGGCATTGGTGGTAGTTTGTACTTTGGCCATTCGGAGCTCCTCTGAGTTTCTTGAATTTTCCGTGACACCCCATCCTGTAACCACGCCCTCTGTTCCTGGACGCAGATGGCGCTCACTGACGAATTGGCTCGGCAGACACACGGGTCTGACGTAAGGAGTCAATGTCACTGGGGTGTCGAGCCATAACACTGCGATGTCAAGGTCATACGTACCAGGGTCGTAGTGCGGATGGACTTCGATCGACGTTACCTGGTATTTTAAAGTTATGTGAAACGTTATCATCATCAACCGACTTTACATATTGTAGATGTAAATGTTAACGACACCTAAGTAAAATAGATAGTTACCAGAGGCGTCTCCTTGCTCTGATATACAGTACATATTTCAATTTCATGCATGTATGAACGCAAATCGGTTACAGAAATATTCCATGAAGCCCGCCAGCATGAACATGGCAAAATACCGTTCAATCCTTATATTTACATTCTAAAGCTTTAGCTATTTTTGACGGAAACAAAGATATTCTTAATTAATGTATGTGTCGTCATTGCAAACGAGATTCCTGGAATAGCCTAGCGTCACCAAAATGTTTGCTTCTAACTGTTGCCTCATGTTAATCGAGGCGGAAGTAGAAACCTTAAAATGACGCTGATCCAAAACAGTTACGCAAAAAAATAATACAGACCATATTGCGATATTGCGTCAGCATTGGACAGTACAATGTTCTACATTGAAGGAGGCCAGTATTTCACAAGAATATACTATCACAGTAGATCAGTTTGATTACACCCAATGCCGTTCGATTTATGCCTAACATGGACGCATTAATTTCAAATCAGTATACATGCTGTCATATGCTACGTCTTACACTAGTACTTGCGCCCACCTTTCTTTTCTGGACAAACGTGCTGTTGAGAACATCGGACCGGTAGTGCTTGCCAAGGTAGATGGCGATATCGTCGACAGAGATTGGGATGTCCGTTTGATAATGCGTCACGCAGTGTGCTGCTGTCACAACAAGTCTCTCAGACACGAGGGAAGCCCCGCAAGTGATGTACCAGAAGTCGTTCTGTAGATGGCGGGAGATGGCGGCCTGCCACGGCCATTGTCCGATACCGGAAACGGTGCCATTATAGACGAGTGGAAGCCGGGCAGTGGCTGACTTACCGCAGACTGAAACAGAGGGGTTAATACAGGTGACCAGATACATAAAACAAAGTCTTCAACACATACATTTGTATCCTAACGCGATGACCTCGTCATGGATGCATTCATGTCATATTTATGGCGTTCAAACTCGTGCAATAGGACCTATTATGACGTCATAAACTAATAAATAACTTCCAGTCACAATGCAAACAATTGGCATAGAGCAAAATGAATGAATTTTAGACTTCAGAAATTACCTTAACTGGGATTGTGTGATAATAAGGATATTATATTTCATATGGGATTTAATCAAAATTGTGACACATTTTCCATTTAACCTTGTTTTATTTATTCCGTTGCATCTGAAATAAAAAAAAATCTCCTATGTGAACATAATTATAGTCTGTAACACAGATTCTACTATATATCTTGACTCGTATTCCGTATTTTGAAAACCAGAGAAAGTAATGACAAAATCTTTGTAATGGAGTGTGAATAATGTTACACTTACTGGGGAGACAAGCGGGTTGCCGCCCAGACCACCTGCCGTCCCTCCTGCACCTCCTCCGGCGGGACCCCACCTGGCGGTAGAAGTGAGATTCACACTGGAAATTTAACCTCGTATACACGCGGAACTTGCCTTCCGGTAACGTAAAATCCGTGTTCTGGTCATTATCCGGGGAATCAAACCCTGAACGCAGGATATCGGGAAGACGGGATCTTTAAAATGAAACGAGATAGCAAATTCTTGAAATATGTGGATCCGTAGCAAATCTTGCTGTGCAATAAACATCTTATATCAATTCGTGTGTATATTATTACAACTCTGTAGCTGACAGAATAACAGAAGCTAGGAAGCCATTGGCATTTTCATCTGCATAATGCAAACAAAAAATATTAAAAGCAAATTGCTTTTAATATTTTTTGTTTGTAAAATGCAAAAGAAATATCCTGCAATATAAATTGAAATACGTGTACATAATCAGTATACTATATGCCTGGTTTGGCCTCACTCACCCTCTGCTGTTTCTCAGTTCGGGTACCACCACCTGTCTGTGAGCGTTACTGGGGATCCCTGGCTCATCGCACGTGATCACTAGTTTAGTAAGAAAAACCCGCACAGCATTATATATACATGTTTATTATGTATTGTATGTATAAAAATTCCAAAGAATAAAGTATTTATATGACTATCCATATGATCTTATTCGTGCCGGTCGTTCGCCCCGCCAAAACTAAGGGACGCAACTCTGGCAGATGTGTGCTGACATACTAGAATCCTATTTGAAGTACTATAAAGCAAGTCCCCGCCCCAGGGATCATCCTCCAAACACCTCGCCATACGTCCCTCACACAGGGATCATCCTCCAAACACCTTGCCATACGTCCCTCACACAGGGACATGAGAACTTGTTGCAGCTATATTTGGACCTAAACTAAGGTATTCAGAGTAATTTTACAAGTATTAGGGGTTTAGATCGACTTGATGTTATATACGAGAAGGGAACCTCATATATGAACGTAAAATTTGTTTTTCCTTCCACAGACATGATCCCCGTTTCCGTCAGCAACACACGCCATTTCATACAACCGTCGTATGACGCCGTACAATTGTCGTGTTACGGCAGTCAGACTGCGATATCACCAGGAGATCGAGCAGACTGTCGTAAGATAGAGCTTTAGTCGTATAATTAACTCACAGCAGTCGCCGAAAGGACGTTCGACGGTAATGTCGTTGGTTTAACCACGGGCTTCCGTGGTTTAACGTTGGGCAACTGTAAGCGTGACCTGACCGCGATGTTTACAACATGAACATTGTTGTCGCATTATACATGAATTAAGTAGTGCAGCGTATGTGGACGCGATTTACATAAGTGATGCCAATCTGCACCCCGATTTGATTGCTTAATTTGTACATAAAATATTAAGGAATTGTGTAATTTTGGAAAGTGTTAGCGCCATCAGATATCATAAACAGTATATGGCATTTTGTTCTAGGGTGGTGTTCGGAGAACGCAAACAATTGATCTTTTTGTACATTAAATGTTTACGCTGAAATAACTTCAATTTCAACGTACCAACGTTCCCTCAAGTCACCTACCTTTTACACAGCGAGGTAGATCTCCACTCCAGGTGCCGTTTCCAGTACACGTCCGGTCTCTGTTCCCCACCAGGATGTAGCCCTCATCACATCCATACAGAAGCCTTCACGTAAGTAAAGTAAAACAAGGTTTATCCTGTATTCGTTTACAAATGCAATAGGACGAGCATTAGCTGCATGAGAATAGTTGATTGGTTTGTTTGTGTTTATTTAAGGACGTGCCAGGTTTTGGTGGTGGAGGAAAGCCAGAGTCCCCGGAGAATATCCCGCGACCTAGTGCAGGAGGGCTCATGGTAGCAGAATGTCAGACGCCTGCATGCGAATAGAGCTGAAGTACATTTATGCTATATATATATAACAACAGGTAATTTTGGAAATTGAAATCATGTAGAACAACAGGTTAAACAAGAGTATTGACAATACAGACACATAGCAATCTAAGAAAATGTACTGACAAATGAGCACTTACCGAACATCTTCTGCAAACGCCTGAACGTAGTTAAGGTTCTTGATGGATCCATGAACCGGAACTTCCGGTGTGGAACACGTGCGCCCATTGAAAAGTATGTCTCGTTCGCACCTAAACAGGGAAAAAAGGTAAATTCGTGACCAAGACATCATCAGATAGTATATCTACGACTGTATAGAAAAAAACACTACACCTGTGTCAAAATCGCATACTGACCAGGGCTCCGGACTGGACCAATTTCCAGTGTCCGTGCACGTGCGCGTAGCGTCTGCCCCTTCCAATCGGAACCCCTCCTCACAGACGTATCGGAGAGAGCTGCCCACGGGGTGAGTTGTGTCATTGCTTAGCACCACACCGTGGGCAATCGTACGGGGTGGTAGACATTCCAGCCGTCTCTCTGCAACACAGGTACATACAATGTAATATCTCGGCTGATATTTAGTCCCGACGTTTGAATATGAGTAAAGGGTTTTTGGCATCAATTGACAAGAATGCTCTTGAATCTTAATTATATTGTTGTATACCTAGCTTCCTCCATTGTCATGTACATATAGGTAATACCACACGTGTTCATCTACTTTGCACAAGTATATTTACATTTTGATATATTTCACGGAGGCTTCAACACATATTTAAATATGTATGATAAATATTTTTCGTAAGGTAAAAGTTATCATAACCGAATTTACCACATCGGGGGGACTCGACTCTCCATTGTCCGTCCAAACACAACACTGTCGAGGCCCCAATCATCCGGTACCCCTCGTCACACTTGTAAACAACACTCGCGCCCTCTAGGAAGTTATCTCCCCTGTATCTTCCGTACTGGATATGGCGTGGCTCATTACACGTTCGAACTGAAACGACGAAGAGAAGTATTATTTTTTTTGCCTAGAAATGCACGTTCATTTCACGCGCCAACAATAATCGCTATTATGTAGAAGGAAACCCAAAATATATATCAAGGGGAGATAAATCTATGTTTCTATGTACCTTTTGACGTAGTTATTGGTAAACATTTGATATATTTGTATGTATAAAGAGCTTGTCAGATACTCTCTTGATTTGGATATATAATCAAAGAAAAGTTTTGTGCTCCGTCCATATTAATTTTCTCCAGCATAATCCAAAAGCAACACTCCGCTTACGTAATCCGGCTTTAGAATTATCTGCCCTTAGACCGTATTTCTCATACCAGTACCTCATGTACATAACAAATCATAGAAAACTAACGTAGGAGAAGGGTCTCTCACTTCAACTTGGCCGTTGTTAGTACGTAAACCTACCACATTCCGGTACTTCTGTATTCCATATTCCGGTCGGCAGACATCGCAGGTTTGATGCACCATCGATTACGTATCCGTCCCGACAGGACAGCTGTAGTTCTCTCACGAGTTCTACTGAAGAAGTGAACACAAATCAGCTGATGTGATCGACTCTTCCATGATTAAAAATTACAACCTTAAATAAGTCATATGTGCAGTTTGAAAAGTTAAGTTTTGCTCAAGCTATATCCAATCGAGAAACGTCGGTACTTTCCGTAAACGAAACCTCGTTTACGGAAAGTGCCGACGGTTTCCAGTTGAAGATGTAATAATCTGAGATAGCTACGAATGCAGCTGGTTTCCTCAATATGGATCATCAAAACATGTAAAACACACACTTGTCTTAAATTTTATGCCATTCATCAGTAAGATTAAGATGGAGTACTTACATGAAACAACGCCATTACAAGAACATACCTGTAGCGGCCCCATTTGTATGGATCAGGGTTGGAATCACCTCCACAACCTGGTGAGCCCTTGGTTCAGGTACGACACACTGGAATTCTACAGCAAAGATGATTGTGTTTGATTTACGAAAATTGACGTTGCTTCAACTACACTTTGTACATACTAACAATACAAATAGTTCATTTTTATTGTCTTTAAATCATTTCGAATGAAAACAATTTATCAATCAGCTATTGCTGACTCATCTGTACCAAAAATAAACAAAAAGCATATTTTCTATAATGGAACGTTAATATTACCACACACTGGTGACGGAGCTGACCAGCGTCCTGAGGGTTGACACGTAATGGTTGCATGACCGACGAGTACGTACGAGGAAGGACAAGAGAACGTGGCCACGCCCCCCTCCATCAAACTATCCGCGTTCACCCTGACATGGCCAAACACAGACGGGGGTCCACAGGAGGCCCCTGGAACAGTAACATGTTGTATATGTACATGTATTTGGAGATGAACACCTCACAGCGTTAAAAACATACTAAATAATTATTACTATTTAGAAACACGAAAAATGGGTAGGGATCCAATTTTGTTCAGAAAAGTTTCAAAAAAATTAAGTTCATTTAACATTGAAATGAATATTTAAGAACGATGCAAACGTTCAAAACGCCAATACCGTCAAACTGATATCCTTATATATATAGCAGTAGTTTGATGGCTAATACATTACTTATTTATTTATTCAATTATTTTACGTTTTCGTCTTTCACACTGTGGTCCCTCGTATTCTGGTAAACAAACACAGGTTTGGTCTGGTAGACAGCTCCCCCCATGTAAACAGCCGCACGCTAAAACACAAATATACAACACGTCAACAATAACCGTAAATCTTAACAATTTAATATGATTGGACTTGATCATCTGATATTTTAATCCAATACTAATTTTTGAAATCATTAACTCACCAGTACTTTGTTCACACCTGGTACCGTTGTAGTGGGGCAAACAAACACATGACCCGTCCGGATCGCAGGTCCCTCCGTTCTGGCAACTACACTCTGAAAACAGGAGCAATACTAACATATAAGAAGCAAGTAACCGCTATTGGTTTTCTAAATAAATAAACCTATATGTGTGGTGAGAGAATATAACGGAAAAAATAAATGATCGTCCTTTATTAATCGTGGATTTTCCCCAATATCTTTGAATCCTAAGTTATATATATGGACATTTGTTAATTATATCTATTCTACCACATAGCATGTGATTGAATGTGCTTCATGTCTATAACACTGCCTACAAAACAACGTGACTTAGATACTATAAGTATTTAAATTGATATTTCTTTTTCTTTGCGTGAGAATATCTGTCACGTGATGACTCCTTTCTATTTCACCAACACGCTGGACGCCTTAACCAATGTCTTGCTGTACCAGTTTAACATAGATTAATTTGAAACATATAGATATGTACATGCAAGCGTGTACCCTTACTCGAAAAGAGGGAATTCGTCCAAGACCCGTTACAAACGGATTATTCATTTACATTTGCACTATTGAGGAGGCAATGGAAGGTGAACTAATACATGGATATTAGCCTTTGAACATTGTCAGGATTTTATTAAGATTATTCTTTTATCAAGAAGCGTTTAAGCATTTCCTTACACGAATCATTTTTTTTCAATAAAAATGTTCTCCGGCAAAACTGTCAACTCACCATTTTCACAAAACCGGCCATATCGGTTATGTGGACACGTGAGACAACCGCCTTCCTGGCCTCCGGTGCACGTGTCGCACAGTCGGAAACGACGACACACTTCCGGTACCCTGTACGGCGTGCATGGCTTACAAAACATTTTGTACCGATGGAAATAGGAACACCTTTAACACGAAGATATTACACAGTTATATGTATCATCAATAAAGTTTTGTTATACATGTAACAATATGATATCTGTAAAATTATTTAAATCAATATGAAATGACGATTTAGTATAACTGTCAGTATCTTGAACAATCGTGAAGTGTCTGCCATTGATTACCTTATGATTGATATGTCCACTTTGAACATTCTAGCGCTGGACTGTGGGCCACACGGACACTTTAGATGGTCGTCAGAACACATCCCCAGGTCCACCCCTCGTGTTCCGGCCGCTGACCGGCACACGCAGAATAATAAACAGACCAAGACTATCAAACAGTGAATCACTAAAAAAAATATGGAAAACAGTACTACTAAATGTTTAGGAATAAAAGTGTCTTACGGTAATGACACGAGTGCAACGAAGTTACCTCCCTTCCTTAATTTGCCTTTTGAATATGAAGTCTACATCTCATGGATATAACAACTATCACCAGTCTGAGAGTACAGTTTGTTTACATCTATATGTATCTCCTTTCTATAAATACCACCTGTCTGTATCTACCTAGTATTTGTAACTATCACCTGTTTATAATGATCATCTGTCTGTTACTACCACCTGTCTATAACTTCCACCTATTTATAACTACCACCTGTGTATATCTACCACCAGTTGATAACAATCACCTGTCTATATTCACCACCTGTCTATAACAACCACCTGTCTATTACTTCCACCTGTTTATAACAATCACCTGTCTATATTTACCACCTGTCTATAACCACAACCTATCTATAACTTACACCTGTTTATAACAACCACTGTCTATAACCACCACCTGTTTATAACAATCACCTGTCTATAACTACCACATGTCTATAAATACCACCTGTGTATAACTACCACCTGTGTATAACTACCGCCAGTCTCAAACTGCCACCTGTCTAGAACTAGCACCTGTCTATAACCACCACCCGGTCATAAATACCGTCTGTATATAACTACCACCTGTCTACAACCTCCGCCTGTGTATAACTACCGCCTGTCTAATACTACCACCTGTTTATAACAATCATCTGTCTATAGCTACCCCCTGTTTATAACAATCACCTGTCTATAACTACCCCATGTCTATAAATACCACCTGTGTATAACTACCACCTGTGTATAACTCCCGCCAGTCTCAAACTGCCACCTGTCTAGAACGAGCACCTGTCTATAACCACCACCCGGTCATACATACCTTCTGTATATAACTACCACCTGTCTACAACAACCGCCTGTGTATAACTACCGACTGTCTAATGCTACCACCTGTTTATAACAATCATCTGTCCATAGCTACCACCTGTTTATAACAATCACCTGTCTATAACTACCACCTGTCTATAACTACTACCTGTGTATAACTACCACATGTTTATAACTACCACATGTCTATAACTACCACCAGTCTAAAACTACCACCTGTCTATAACTGCCACCTGTCTATAAATACCACCTGTGTATACCTACCACCTGTGTATAACTACCGCCAGTCTCAAACTGCCACCTGTCTATAACTACAACCTGTCTTTAACTACCGTCTGTCTAGAACTAGCACCTGTCTATAACCACCACCCGGTCATAAATACCTTCTGTATATAACTACCACCTGTCTACAACCACCGCCTGTGTATAACTACCGACTGTCTAATACTACCACCTGTTTATAACAATCATCTGTCTATAGCTACCCCCTGTTTATAACAATCACCTGTCTATAACTACCACCTGTCTATAACTACTACCTGTGTATAACTACCACAGGTTTATAACTGCCACCTGTCTATAACTGCCACCTGTCTATAACTACCGCCTGTCTACAACCACCGCCTGTCTACAACCACCACATGTATATAACTACCACCCGGTCATAAATACCGTCTGTATATAACTACCACCTGACTATAACTACCACCTGTCTGCAACCACCGTCTGTCTACAACCACCGCATGTCTACAACCACCGCCTGTGTATAACTAACGCCTGTCTACAACCACCGCCTGTGTATAACTAACGCCTGTGTATAACTAACGCCTGTCTAATACTACCACCTGTCCTAAGCCACCACCTGTATATAACTATCACCAGTCTGAAACTACCATCTGGGGCATGGTTTGCTATACCTATATAGAACTACTGCTGGTACATAACTATCACATCTGTAAATCTACAACCTCTCTAAATCTATACCTTAATGGTTAAAAGTTAATATTACTAATATCATTTATTGGGACAGCTTATTATTTCTCCATAGAACTGTTTTTATAGACAAGTATGACGTACGTACATATCAATGATGTTTGAATATCAAAATATATAATACACTTTGATACACCCCGAGGAGTCTTTAATCTACTGTAATTGATCTTTAAGCTTTAAAAGTTTTATAGTATATAATTAACAAATTTAAAACAAACTTGTGTGCGTGTGTACAAACAACTGGTACTTACCCATGTTACTTCTAGTATCGTCAATGTCCATCGTGTGATCTGGTTTACATGTCGGAAGTGACTGTTTACAACTTATACGTACTAGAGCACTCGGTAGGGCTGGGGCTGCTGAACTCTAGGAACTGATGACGTCACTACACTCCCACCCAATTTAAACCAGTGGTGTGACGGGAGCGGACTATTGCGTGTCTACCTGACGGGTCAAATGTATCAGATATCAACTTAGATTTGTATCTATCTGAGATGTTTGTGGTAAATCATTACTTAAAAGAACCTATATAGTACATACACATACCGCTCCCTCTTTCAGCATTGTCTTTAAATGAAACTCAACACGAATATCCTCGGTACCAGGAAAGTGAATACCACTATATAGGTACTTCGCTAGCAGGATTCGGGTATAGTAATATTTTGTTAGGGATGTACCATCCTCGACATTCCGAGGGTCACACCCACTAACGTTCTGTACAGAGAACGTAAGTGAGCATTAACCCCTAGAGTTTCGAGGATCGGGACATCCTTTATTAATGTGCATGTGAATTCACTTGCAAGAGGTCTACAGGGCCTGCAGCCTCTGAAATGATTGCATGGTTACTGTTTATATGGATATGAACGCTATGGCGTGGAATTTTGCTACAAATTATTCGAAGGTGATATTTTATAGGTGTGGGACGGTTCCTTTTTTTTTTTTTAGTATGGATGAATTCATGATTGGGTTTATATTTTGTCCCTGTGTGTTACCGCTGTAGTACATCGTGTCTGTGTGTCCTTGGGTGTAGTCACTGCGGTATATTGTATTCCGTATAACACGTAAAATTGGATCTATGAGTTTGGGTTGCTGAATTCCGAAGATTACAATGGTGACGCTGGCTGTCGTATAGCTCCTACAAATACGAGGTAAGAGTTTGTTTCGTCCTAGGATCGGTTATAACCGGAAAAAATAAGGACGTAGAGCCCAATCAATCAATCAAGCAATCAATCAATCGGGGGTACAGTTCGTTTACTCGGGAAATCAATAGCTTGTTGGAAAATTTTGTAACCGAACTCGACGAAGATATTGTGAATCTCGAACTCAGTAATTCTCATAAATTCTTATCTTGGCCTTTGTAGTGGTTTCAACATAATATACTACGAAATAGTTTACAACATTATAATATCTGAATGACATTTTGCCTTTATTGGAAGGAAAAGCTCCCATACTAAGAATACGAGTGCGTTCCTGGCACTGTATAGAAAGGAACAGTTAAATGTTCTGAAAGAAGAAGAAAAATGAGGAGATTAATTAATTCCACTTCTACTCCACAACAACGATAACCATAATTAAAAGGCATGACACAGTTGAGATGATGGTTTGGTTGGGCAACTAGCAAAGCCAGTGATGCAACGTTGATTATAATGTTCATGTGAAATTGACGAATCCAATACAAACGAGGCGTGTCTGCATCCTTATCATCACGTGGTATTTCGAAAGTTTGTAAAACAGAAGCATGAGTAGCTAGTTTTTCGTTTTACGACAAATTGGACAATGTATAATCAGCGTTTCCTGATAGTGAAGAAAGCCTAGAGCTCTCTGCTTTTGTAAACATGAGATGTAAAGGTAATCTCAGACAAGGGTCAAGTTATGGAACGATTTGTCTGCCGACAAAACCGCATACTTATCATCCATGTCACTGGGTGTGGTTTGAACATCGGGGTACACAAACACAAACATGCGTTTGGTATTTATTCCGGATTTCAAGTTGTTACTCCTTTTTTTAATGGACCTGATAGATTAGATTAAGCCAATGATATAAGTAAACATTCACATATTACACGAGGATTATTTCGGTTTGGATTTTAAACCAGTATCAAAGTTAAATAAACATACAATGCTAATACTTAAGCATTGAATTGTTTTTGTATGGTATTTATGATCTATTTGAATGACACAGCTTTGCAGGCAAACAACATAATGCGCGCTAGCAATACTTATATTTACGTTTTCTATGCCTCTTATGTTCTTTTTTAACTTACAATTTATATTTTAAATATAAAATTCCCGCCTTATCGACAGTCCACACAAATTCGTTCAATGGTTGGAACAGCGTGTTGTCGCGTGCTGATTGGCAAACAAAGTAGTACTTTGAAATTTTAACAAACACTTCAATTTTATTCTACAATTCAGTATCAATACAATTGCGTATGATATGTCTATAGGGTGATTTAAGATTATCAATTAAACTCTGAGCTGAAAGTTAGATTTGAAATTGTTTCGATTCTTCCCCGGAACAAATTTTGCGCATGGATAAATACAGTGAACACCGCAAATCCGACCTTGCCCTCAACGAGGGAGTTATTTTTGGAAGTTGATTCGAACTTTTCTCTTTGCTCATTTTGTGAAGAATCCAGACGTGCATTTATTTGTTGATGGTATGGGAGTCTGACTACAGTCGGTAGATTCTATAACAGCCTCGTTATTTGACATGTCGTCAGAAACTCAAGAAAACGGTGGCTGCAAGACGCGTGAAACTGATATCGTTTGAAGTGAGCGATCTTGCGACGGAGCACAGGCCGGGGTTCGTTACAAATGTCTGAAATGTTTATGTGTGCTGTGACTCATATCAGTAGGTCTGTAACATATGTGTCAGTAGGTCTATATAATATGTGTATTTCAAACATTTGTAACGATCCCCTGTTAATCAGTGCAGTGTAACAGACGATGTTGCTGATAAATTGCATGAGTGTTAAAATTGTTTCCATTGCCGGCATTGGTGATTTCAACCGATATTGCAGACAGACCTTGGTCTTGTTTTTGTTGTAATAAAAGTATTTTTTTCTTTTGCACATAAATTGACAATGACATTGTCAATGCCCAGCGATATTTCAGCAGCCATCATGTTTATTTACATTGGATATTGTAGTTCCGGTCAGTGTGGTAATTAATACGCTTAGAATTGTGTCTCGTGCGGCATGGTAATTCAAGTCCCATCAACGACACAGCTTTCAAAGAGGCTATATAGTGACAATGCCATGCAAATGTAAATATATGTATAGTAAGAAGAATTGGTAGAATATACAGTTGTACATTAAAGAAGTGTGAGTTAAAAGGGGAGATTTATTTACTTTCGTGATATTTTCCAGCGCTTCATTGACTGTTTGCCAGTCATTTCCCCAACACATCCTGGAATACTTTTAAGCTACTTCCAAACTTCGTTAAATATTTTCGAGATATTTCATTGAATACATTTTAAGACATTTCCTTAACTGTTTTTTAATCACTTCAATAATATTTATCTACAAAGTAAAAGAAGAAAACTTAAACCAAACACAAAAACATAAAATAAAAATAAAAACATTTCAAATATGCATGACATTTTATTGCAAAACAAATTTTTGATGAGAGAACAGACGTAAGTAGATTTGAGATACACAGTTTAGGAACAATATATATCAAATCAATTTAGCTTAATCACAAATTTTACGTGAACCAGGTACATGTATCCCTGTTAACACTGACCAGTGTGAAGTGCAATATTAATCCGGATATTAAACACATCTAGAAATGACACATGATATTTTATACAAAACCATGTGAACACTTAATGAAGTACAAATGACACAACATGATTTAAAAACCATGTGATCATTTAAATAGCTACACTTCTACCATGCGTTCGCTGTGAAGACACTTTTATTTGGTTAATAATCATATATTATTTTCCAAACAATGCCGTGCAACTCTCTTCCAAATGCCTCCATTGTATATTGCATTGCAAGGGTAAACAAACATGTAGGGAAACACGCATGTCTTTTCTCGTATACTTGAAGATTTGAGGAACGAAAAAAAAAGGATTCTATTTAATCTCTAGATCAACAAAAACACCGTTCAAGGTCAAGTCATGTAAAAATGTTTGGCCGAACTTAGCATGAGAGTAACTTGGAATTGGGTCTGTCAGTCTGTCGAGTGTTGATTTCATGTGTTGATGAATGAAATCGATAGATTGAAGCTTTTGATTGATTGAAATAAACATTTTGATAAAGCATGACGTCAGTGTTTATTTATCAACGACACAGCTTTCAAATATCCTATATAGTGACAATGCCATGCACATGTAAATATATTGCATTATGAAGGTGTATAGGCACTGAGGTAGACATGAAAACACATTTTCCATAGAATAGAAACAATCAACATACATGTGTATGCTACGGTGCAGATCTTACTCGGGATTCGATTTTTTTTCATTTTTTCCAAAATTTGTCTCATCCTTATCATTCATTCCTACATAAAATCCACATAAGTCGATTATTTCTTTTATATCAAAACACGATATTATACGAAAAACGCGAACAAAACACGACGGACATTATATACAAAACCATGAAAAACATTAATAGTAGCTAATAATTGAACGACATATAAAAATGTACAAAACCATGTTATCACTGACCATTATTACAGAAAACTCGAAATGATATTATATAATATATAATATCATGTATTATACAAACACGGATATCACACACTTGATGAGCAGAACATTTTCATCTAAATTGGAGTACACCACATTTACAAAATAACGAACAAACATAATCTTAAATTTAATCTAAAACTATTACAAAAACCAGAGTTAGATGCACCAGTAAACTTAGCTGCGGTAAAGTATCCGAATGATACTGTTAATCAATTACGGGTTAGCTCCCTTGGTACAGTTATCATCATATTACGAGTCATTTTCACATTACGAATACATCATCCTCGATATCCAGGGGTTACGCTTACCTAACGTCAGCTAACGTAGGGGAGCGTAACCCCTGGATATCGAGGATGCGAATATATGAACATTGATCAGATGGTATGACCTTCGTGGTTATGTACAAATATTTTCATTTTCATTGGGATATCGATTTTTTTTTTGTCATCAAAAATACATTAATCTAAACATTCTTGTTTAATTATGTTGCCATATAAAAACATAAATTAATCTCACAAATAAAATAGAGGATGTCACTCACATCCCATCACACAAGAGATGTCTATGTTTTAACTGCAAATAAATACAAAAAAATCCAAAGCCCTAGCTTGTGTCAATTACAAACTGACTCGGGAGGTTTGGGTCCGTTTTCATGAAACTGTTCTCATGTTTAAGCATGGGTTCTGTGTTCAAACCATCCTTTTTTGTAACTCGCTTAAATCATGCGACACAAGTGTGAAGTCTCTCTAAAATTCTTAAAAATCACTAACAAAAATATTATAAATGTTTTACTGGAGCAAGAAAATGGCCTTGAGCACAGAATATGAGTTTGATGAAAACAGTTTCTTGAACACGGACCTTGGTAATATTGTATTTATTTCCTAATGAAACCGAGGCAACTACAAATTGTATGATCACACGTAAACATACAATTAAAATACAGAGAGAATAAAGCGCCGCAGGTATAGTTATTTTTTATTCTGTAGGTTATAAATTTCAATTGATATGCACAGGAAATGTAGCACATTGCATTGATATTATCGTCCGGGTAATTGTAGGTAAATTTAGATAAGAAATATCAAATGACAAGTGAACGGATTTGCCATGGATCATACATGACATGTGCAAAATGGATATTATAAGATAGGATACCACCACCTGTATCTCGTTATTCAAACCTAAAGAACTCACGACAGTTGCATATAGTACATTAGTGTAATGAACCAATATACATAGATAGTATCGCGAGCAGGTTGTGTACGGCGTAAAAGTGTTTGTTATATACTGCAATGATCAGTAAATGATCTAAATAACAAAAACATAATATCGCGAGCAGGTTGTTTAGGATGTGTAAATACTGTAATTATTAGGAAATATTTACAATTCTACTGAACTTAAACACAATAATCTCACAAAAGAGGGGGTTTATTTTTTTCATAAACTTTCTAGTTGGCGTTTGTGCACAGTTAGTGATGACGTCACTAGCATCAGAATCTTCCACGGAATTACACCTGCTTAAGTTTGATATTTTGATTTATCAAAACAATATAAAAATGACACTTAATATAAATTAAGGGCTGAATCCTGTTGTGTTTAGGTGTATGGGGTATTAACCTCATAAACCACAAGATAACTGGATCCAATGCTTAAATTATCTAGACTATCTGGTTCTTTATTGTGATACAATCAGTAAACGGTTTTTCACACAAACACACATACTTAGTATTACGAACAAGTTGTGTATAATTTGTATATATCTGTCCAGTAGTAAGAACATTGACTTCCGAGTATATTGTAATAGTGTTATGCAATACTATTATATGTAAATTTGGTGCTATAGGTATTGCATTTACTAATATGAATTTTAAAATAAAAACATCAAAAATATCACATATAATGCGCCGAATTACCAATATTTATGTATCAAGATGAAATCCAATCAATAAGGCTGGAGGCAGAAAAGTGAATTTGTTAACGTATGATAAATAATCTATTGAATAAATTGTTAGAAAAGAAATTCGATACTTTTCAAATCTATAGAAAAGTTTTCCAAAAGAACCGTTAACAACTACATAAACCGATGAAGGTGTGTAATCAACTTCAAATTATCTAATATATTGAAAGAGAAGTAATAAATGCATTCAACGAACATATATCATTCATATAGCGAAATATGGATCATTTTGTCTTACAAGTAAAACACTATAACTGATAAACATATAACCATCATCTAGGTTTATATAAAGAACTTGAGTGATGATTGTTCCTGCTGCCATTTTGGACGAGACCATGTTACTGTTAACAAGTCTGTCGAAGTAACATCTAAGTCCCTCAAGTCTGGTGAGAAAGACCTGGTTCAGTGGCGGACTTCTCTTGGTATGGTGGCGGTCGCAGCAAAATCATTCACATTTCCAACAGGAATCTTGGTGTGGTTTGAATTCTAACTAGCTTAGACGGTGTTCAATCAAATCGTCCATAAACACCTCACGTGATGATGTACAAAATATAGATAGCAAACCCCAAAACAACGTTTAGCGTTGTTCGATAATCAAACAGCTTGCCTGCGGAATTTTCCACTGACGTTAATGCGGCACCCCTCACCTCGTCGTCGAAGGGAATATTTTTGAGCTGATAGTTACAGAAGTCGCGGTCTTTGCAATGACAAACACTGGCATTCTCCGTCTGGTTACAGGCGGCGATTTTCCAGTCGTGGTCACAAGTCCGCATGTACACTGAAATAGTAAAACTGGGTTAACATGGTGTATACTGAAACAAATCAAACTATAAGTAAAACTGAATGTAAATTTGGATTGTATCCTAACTAAACATGTTATCCTTGGATTATTAATAAACATAATTTCCTTGGATTATCAATAAACATGATTTCCTTGGATTAACAATAAACATGATTGTCTTGGATTAAACATGATTTCATTGGACTAAGAATAAACATGATTTCATTGGATAATCAATAAACATGATTTCCTTGGATTATGAATAAACATGATTGTCTTGGATTAAACATGATTTCATTGGACTAAGAATAAACATGATTTCCTTGGACTAAGAATAAACATGATTTCCTTGGATTGTATCATAAATAAACATGACTTCCTTGGATTATAACGAACCATGATCAACACTAAACAATTTATAACCTACCGTTATGTTTTACACAATCTGTATAATTTTTGTACGTTGAAAAAAAGATATATTAAAATACACTTGCGAATAATCTTTCAATCCAATATAACATTGAAAAACATCAGTAATAAAACTGACTCTAAGTCAATTGAATAACAAAATATGTGAACATTATGTGATGCTAATTGAAATGAGAAATAAAATAATGTTGACGGATCTGGATAGCATTTGTGTATCCCAAATTTAAAGAAATAACATAAGTTTTGAGTATCGTTTTACAGTATCAGGGAAAGTTACCATCATCATATACTGTATGTCAAGTTGACATCGTGATCTTTGGTCCAAAATACGTTTTTAGTGTTGTCATGGCAAAGGGTTAGATGGGCATAGAAAGACTACGTGTTTATAATAAGAATTGTTTATCACATGGTGATCCCATTCGACTGCATTATTTGTGCCTTGTCCGGTTCACTGTATCGGAATACCTGGTGTGTAGAAGTCTTCACTGAGTGTGACTGAATTGCGTTCATCTGATCTGTTCATCCCTTTATAAACAGCGGAATGACCTGTCATGTTATGTAATGCCTGTTCATTACTTACCATCGATCACATGACCTAGAATTCTTTTTCTCATTGCCGCAATTTTGCATGTGCCGTTACAACGTTCAATGTTTTCCACGTGTCCGACTGTAAGCTTGCGAGCCTTCCGGTCACATATGTCGGGATGTCGTCTGTTGTCGCATTTGTAACACATCAGCCCATACCCTGAAACAATCACAGAAAAAAACCTCAAAAGTACACGGTTATATTTCTTTTATTTATTGTGAGGAGAAGAGACGCTATCAAAAGGACAGGATATCGATGAAGACATATAAAGGAAATGTTTTATACAAAATTGAAGTGAAAGAATATCAAATGTTGTCCTGATGAAAATTACAATTCCAGACCACCATGTCTGCGCTTCCAATTGGTCAAATAATTTACTGAAATATTTCAAATATTGGTAGTGACTGGTGCTAATGCCTTTACTTATTATTGTTCCCTTTCTTTAACCTAGACACACATCCATGTATAGTCAAAATTCAGAGATTAATATCATTATTATTCCGTTACATCTTGGGTTTGACCATTAATGTATTGATAGAAGATCGCATCCCATATCAATTATAACAATGTCATTGGAAAAAAAATATTCTTGAAAATATTTTGGAATTCAAAACCCTTTTATACATGCCATAACTCCCTATGTTAAGTCATTTTTTCCATTGTTTTATATGTTTATTTATTCATTCAAAATAATATTCCTGACCTAATTTCTCCTCCCATTTTGATAAAAAAAATGCGCACTGTTCAGTGCTCCCATTATTAATAGTGATGCACCTAATTTGTCCATATTGTTGAGATATCTCTTGTTTATTTCTGCATGAAATTTAGTTTAATTGACAAAATCATATTTACAACAAAATTTAACAAGGTGTTTATAAAAAATAAACACAATGTTAATTTTGTTGTAAAAATGATTTTGTCAATTAGCATTTATCATGGTTAAAATTTTAAGAAACGCGGATAATGATATGAATATTGCCACTAAAAGTGCTTGATAATTATCTAGTTCATGACCATGACCATGGCCGTGACCATAACCATGACCATGGCCGTTTCGGGGTAACAAACCTTAAACAAACAAACAAACAAACAAACAAGAGAAACAATCAGGCTTTGTATCGTAAAGTGAATGGGGTTGCTTTAATTACTCGTATTCATCTTTAAAATAAAACTTTGAAACTAGAATAGGTGAAACATCTAATGTTTCGGCTAACAAAGTAAAGACAGCCACAGCTGAGCGTCGGAGTCAATAAGTACAGTTCATTGTTGTTGTTGACACTATAATTAATTGCGCATTTTCTGTACAATGACACACTGTCAAGGGTATGGTCAAGCCGCCCTTCCGATACGCATCCTATGTAGCATGAGAACACATCCGTCTACAAATCAGCTCGGCAGCTGTAAAAACCTTTGTATGTTGAAAGAAAACTACACACGACTTACTGGCTAGTTGTCGAGTGTATTAACACAGAAAACTAAACACAACTTACTGGCTAGTTGTCTAGTGTATTAACAAAACAAACTACACACGACTTACCGGCTAGTTGTCGAGTGTATTAAAACAGTAAGCCGTGTGCAGTTTTCTGTTTTAATACACACGACTTACCGGCTAGTTGTCGAGTGTATTAACACAGAAAACTACACATTAACACAGAAAACTACACACGGCTTACTGGCTAGTAGTCGAGTGTATTAACACAGAAAACTACACACGAGTTACTGGCTAGTAGTCGAGTGTATTAACAAAGAAAACTACACACGACTTACTGGCTAGTTGTCTTGTGTATTAACAAAACAAACTACACACGACTTACCAACTAGTTGTCGAGTGTATTAACACAGAAAACTACACACAACTTACTGGCTAGTAGTCGAGTGTATTAACACAAAAAACTACACACGACTTACTGGCTAGTTGACTAGTGTATTAACAAAACAAACTACACACGACTTACCGGCTAGTTGTCGAGTGTATTAAAACAGAAAACTGCACACGGCTTACTGGCTAGTAGTCGAGTGTATTAACACAAACAACTACACACGACTTACTGGCTAGTTGTCGAGTGTATTAAAACAGTAAGCCGTGTGCAGTTTTCTGTTTTAATACACTCGACTACTAGCCAGTAAGCCGTTTGCAGTTTTCTGTTTTAATACACACGACTTACCGGCTAGTTGTCGAGGGTATTAAAACAGAAAACTGCACACGGCTTACTGGCTAATAGTCGAGGGTATTAACACAAACAACTACACTCGACTTACTGGCTAGTTGTCGAGTGTATTAACACAGAAAACTACACACAGCTTACTGGCATGGCTAGTTGTCGAGTGTTTTAACAAAAAAACTACACACGAGTTACTGGCTAGTAGTCGAGTGTATTAACACAGAAAACTACACACGGCTTACCGGCTAGTTGTCGAGTGTATTTACACAGAAAACTACACACGATTTACTGGCTAGTTGTCGAGTGGATTAACACAGAAAACCACACACGACTTACTGGCTAATAGTCGAGGGTATTAACACAAACAACTACACACGACTTACTGGCTAGGAGTCGAGTGTATTAACACAAACAACTACACACGACTTACTGGCTAGGAGTCGAGTGTATTAACACCGAGAACTAAACACAACTTACTGGCTAGCTGTCTAGTGTATTAACAAAAAAAACTACACACGACATACTGGCTAGTAGTCGAGTGTATTAACAAAGAAGTTGTCGAGTGTATTAACAAAAAAACTACACACGAGTTACTGGCTAGTAGGCGAGTGTATTAACACCGAAAACCAAACACAACTTACTGGCTAGCTGTCTAGTGTATTAACAAAATAAACTACACACGACTTACCGGCTAGTTGTCGAGGGTATTAAAACAGAAAACTGCACACGGCTTACTGGCTAGTTGTCGAGTGTATTAAAACAGAAAACTAAACACAGCTTACTGGCATGGTTAGTTGTCGAGTGTTTTAACAAAAAAAACTACACACGACTTACTGGCTAGTAGTCGAGTGTATTAACACCGAAAACTAAACACAACTTACTGGCTAGTTGTCTAGTGTATTAACAAAACAGACTACACACGACTTACCAACTAGTTGTCGAGTGTATTAACACAGAAAACTACACACGATTTACTGGCTATTTGCCGAGTGTATTAACACAGAAAACTACACACAACTTACTGGCTAGTAGTCGAGTGTATTAACACCGAAAACTAAACACAACTTACTGGCTAGTTGTCTAGTGTATTAACACAACAAACTACACACGACTTACCAACTAGTTGTCGGGTGTATTAACACAGAAAACTACACACGATTTACTGGCTATTTGCCGAGTGTATTTACACAGAAAACTAAACACGACTTACTGGTTAGTTGTCTAGTGTATTAACAAAACAAACTACACACGACTTACCGGCTAGTTGTCGAGAGTAATAACACAGAAAACTACACACAATTTACAGGCTAGTTGTCGAGTATATTAAAAAAAAGAAAACTACACCCGACTTACTGGCTAGTTGTCGAGTGTAATAACACAGAAAACTACACACGGCTTACTGGCTAGTTGTCGAGTGTATTAAAACAGAAAACTACACACAGCTTACTTGCATGGTTAGTTGTCGAGTGTTTTAACAAAAAAACTACACACGACTTACTGGCTAGTTGTCGAGTGTAATAACACAGAAAACTACACACGGCTTACTGGCTAGTTGTCGAGTGTATTAAAACAGAAAACTACACACAGCTTACTTGCATGGTTAGTTGTCGAGTGTTTTAACAAAAAAACTACACACGACTTACTGGCTAGTTGTCGAGTGTAATAACACAGAAAACTACACACGGCTTACTGGCTAGTTGTCGAGTGTATTAAAACAGAAAACTACACACAGCTTACTGGCATGGTTAGTTGTCGAGTGTTTTAACAAAAAAAACTACACACGACTTACTGGCTAGTAGTCGAGTGTATTAACACAGAAAACTAAACACAACTTACTGGCTAGTTGTCTAGTGTATTAACAAAACAAACTACACACGACTTACCAACTAGTTGTCGAGTGTATTAACACAGAAAACTACACACGATTTACTGGCTATTTGCCGAGTGTATTAACACAGAAAACTACACACAACTTACTGGCTAGTAGTCGAGTGTATTAACACCGAAAACTAAACACAACTTACTGGCTAGTTGTCTAGTGTATTAACAAAACAAACTACACACGACTTACCAACTAGTTGTCGAGTGTATTAACACAGAAAACTACACACGATTTACTGGCTATTTGCCGAGTGTATTAACACAGAAAACTAAACACGACTTACTGGTTAGTTGTCTAGTGTATTAACAAAACAAACTACACACGACTTACCGGCTAGTTGTCGAGAGTAATAACACAGAAAACTACACACAATTTACAGGCTAGTTGTCGAGTATATTAAAAAAAAGAAAACTACACCCGACTTACTGGCTAGTTGTCGAGTGTAATAACACAGAAAACTACACACGGCTTACTGGCTAGTTGTCGAGTGTATTAAAACAGAAAACTACACACAGCTTACTTGCATGGTTAGTTGTCGAGTGTTTTAACAAAAAAACTACACACGACTTACTGGCTAGTTGTCGAGTGTAATAACACAGAAAACTACACACGGCTTACTGGCTAGTTGTCGAGTGTATTAAAACAGAAAACTACACACAGCTTACTTGCATGGTTAGTTGTCGAGTGTTTTAACAAAAAAACTACACACGACTTACTGGCTAGTTGTCGAGTGTAATAACACAGAAAACTACACACGGCTTACTGGCTAGTTGTCGAGTGTATTAAAACAGAAAACTACACACAGCTTACTTGCATGGTTAGTTGTCGAGTGTTTTAACAAAAAAAACTACACACGACTTACTGGCTAGTAGTCGAGTGTATTAACACAGAAAACTAAACACAACTTACTGGCTAGTTGTCTAGTGTATTAACAAAACAAACTACACACGACTTACCAACTAGTTGTCGAGTGTATTAACACAGAAAACTACACACGATTTACTGGCTATTTGCCGAGTGTATTAACACAGAAAACTACACACAACTTACTGGCTAGTAGTCGAGTGTATTAACACCGAAAACTAAACACAACTTACTGGCTAGTTGTCTAGTGT